GTGAACCCTATATATACTGTTTGTTCTGATAACCAAGATGACTACTAAGTAATTACAGGATAGGAAGCATATACAGTGTGAACATGTTGGACAAAGGGATGATTCATGTCCCAGGCAATATGGTAAGAGATTTCATTACACTACAAAGAATAATGCATAATTTGAAACTAATGAGGGCCAGGCGTGGTGACTCATGCCTGTAATTCCAGCACTTTGGGAGGCCAAGGAGGGTGGATCATGAGGTCAGGAGTTCAAGACAAGCCTGGTCAACATACTAAAAATACAAAAATTAGCCAGGCGTGGTGGCGCACACCTGTAATCCCAGCTACTCAGGAGGCTGAGGCAGGAGAATTGCTTGAACCCAGGAGGCAGAGGTTGCAGTGAGCCAAGATCACGCCACTGCACTCCAGCCTGGGCATAGAGCAAGACTCTGTCTCAAAAAAAAAGAAAGAAAGAAAAGAAACTTATGAATTAATGATTTCTGGGTTTTTCCACTTAATATTTTCAGCCTGCAGTTGACCATATGTAACTGAAACTGTGGAAAGCAAAACCATGGATAAGGGAGGATGAGATCTTAAAGTCCAATCAGTCCACTCTCAGGTAGCCTGGCAGCAAGAGTTCAAGTGCTATGGCTGGAGGCCAGGAAAACAGCTTTCCAGCTGAACACTACAGGTTTGTCTCAGTGCTCACCATCTGCTGAACACCTCAAAAAAACCAAAACAATGAATACAACACAATGCCACAGACCAAATGTTTTTTATTTGATGTAATGCTGGCTTGCTTCCAAAGCAGTACATCCTAATCAGTACTGATTTTCAGCTCCACCAATAGGTATTGGTTGGACATGCCCAAATTAGTGTAGATTCACCATGACCTATTGAGTACTTTTGAGTGAAGAAAAGCTAAACAAATTTTAAGAAAATTGGGCTGGGTAGCCGAATGCAGTGGCTCACGCCTGTAATCCCAACACTTTGGGAGGCCGAGGCGGGTGGATCATGAGGTCAGGAGATCAAGACCATCCTAACACTGTGAAACCCCGTCTCTACTAAAAATACAAAAAAATTAGCCAGGCATGGTGGCGGGCACCTGTAGTCCCAGCTACTCAGGAGGCTAAGGCAGGAAAATGGCGTGAACCCGAGAACATGGAGCTTGCAGTGAGCCGAGATCGCACCACTGCATTCCAGCTTGGGGGACAGAGCAAGACTCCGTCTCAAAAAAAAAAAAAAAGAAAAGAAAAAAAAATTGGGCTGCGAAAGAGTCAAGTGAAAAAAACAAGTCTTTGTAAAGCACCTTTAAATTGCTACGAGCTAATATTCATTGAGCTCTTGCTGTTAGGTATTATTATTTTTTTGAGAAGGAGTCTCACTGTCGCCCAGGCTGGAGTGCAGTGGCGCGATCTCAGCTCACTGCAACTTCCGCCCCCCAGGTTCAAGCGATTCTCCTGCCTCAGCCTTCTAAGTAGCTGGGATTACAGACATGTGCCACCACACTTGGCTAATTTTTCTATTTTTAGTAGGCATGGGGATCTCACCATGTTGGCCAGAGTGTTCTCCAACTCCTGAACTCAGGTGATCCGCCCACCTCGGCCTCCCAAAGTGCTGGGATTACAGGTGTGAGCCACTGTGCTTGGCCTAGGTATTATTATAAGCACATTTAGGTATATCTGCTCATTTAATCCTCAAAAACTAACAAACAAACAAACGAAAAACCCTATCAGCTGGGGGGTGCTTTTATCCCGTCTACAGATGAGGAAACTAACAAGACAGAAGTGAAGTGACATCGTACTCAGACACACAGCTAATAAAATAGAAAGGCTAGGCTTGGCGTGGTGGCTCATGCCTGTAGTCCCAACACTTTGGGAGGCTGAGAAGATCACCTGAGAGCAGGAGACCAGCCTGGCCAACATGGTGAAACCCCGTCTTTTCCAGCAATACAAAAATTTTAGCCGGGCATGGTGGTGTGCACCTGTAGTCCCAGCTACTCAGAGGGCCAAGGCACAAGAACTGCTTGAACCCAGGAAGAGGCTGCAGTGAGCCGAGATCACACCACTGCACTCCAGCCTGAGTGACAGAGTGAGATGCTGTCTCAAAAAAAAAAAACGTAGGCTGAGATTTCAACTGAGTCTACCTAGAGAAACTATAACAACCACTAAGCAACATTGCTGCCCTATTTGTATACTTGTGCCGTGGAACTATGTTTCTCTTCTGCTCAAAACTCTCCTATAGTTCCCCTTTTAATCAGGGTCAAAGCCAAAGGTCTTACAACGGCCTACAAGGCCCTAAGTGACTTGCTTCCCATTGCTACTCTACACCATTTCCACTGACCCACTGCATTCCAGCAACCTTGCTCTTCCTACATCACACTACACCTGCTTCTACCTCAAGGTCTGTCCTTGCTGTTCCCACTGCCTGTTATACTCTTCCCTGAGACAGTAGTGGCTTGCTCTCACATTTCCATCAGAACTCTACACAGTGTTACCTCCTTGCACCACTCTATTTAACACAGTACTCCTCACCCTTTCCACACTTAATTAAAACCACCTAGCAGTAACACCACCCTCTAAAATATAAGCTACATGACAACAGGGACATCTAGGAGTCTGGCTTGTACCATTTCTGGCACACAGGAGATAATGCTTAAAAACTGGCCACATACGCTTTGATTCACAACCCAATTAAATAACTTCAGGCAGAAAATCATGCCTCTATGCCAATAAAACCCAAACCAAGGCTGGGCGCGGTGGCTCACACCTGTAATCTCAGAACTTTGGGAGGCCGAGGTGGGCAGATCACGATGTCAGGAGATGGAGACCATCCTGGCTAACACGGTGAAACATCACCTCTACTAAAAACACAAAAAAATTAGCTGGGTGTGGTGGCACACGCCTGTAGTCCCAGCTACTCGGGAGGCTGAGGCAGGAGAATCACTTGAACTTGGGAGGCGGAGGTTGCAGTGAGCCAAGAGGGTGCCACTGCACTCCAGCCTGGGCGACAGCGAGACTCCGACTCAGAAAAAAAAAAGAAGAAGAAAAGGATATATCAAAGCAGTCTTGTAGAATCTTTATTTTTATGATTAAAAACCTGGTCTTCCTTGGGCCAGGCACGGTGGCTCACGCCTATAATCCCATCACTTCGGGAGGCCGAGGCAGGTGGATCACGAGGTCAGGAGATCGAGCCCATCCTGGCTATTATGGTGAAACCCCATCCCTACTAAAAATACAAAAAAAAAAAAAAAAATAGCAGGGCATGGTGGGTGGGCACTTGTAATCCCAGCTACTCAGTAGGCTGAGGCAGGAGAATGGCCTGAACCCAGGAGGCAGAACTTGCAGTGAGACGAGATCGCGCCACTGCACTCCAGCCTGGGGGACAGAGTGAGACTCTGTCTCCAAAAAAAAAAAACCAAAACCTGGTCTTCCTTAATGTATATATGTTGATATCTCCTTTAAAGGGTTAAGTTTCTTTGGAATGACTTGATGATTTTGAGAAACTATATACACCACCTAAAGAATTGGTAGAAGTGTAAATTCTTAATCAGTTACTAGTAATAGTCATTGTATTGAAGGGGAAAATAACCCCAAGTTGACAACAGATGCCTGTCCTTCCAGATAAAATGAAATTATTCAACGCACTGGGTTGACTTAACACTGCAAGTAAATAAATAACACATCGAACTTTAAGCTTGTTTAATTTTCATGAGACTAATTTCTTAGCTACAGCTGTCAAAACAGGTAACTAGCCCTAAGTGGGCAAAATGTGCCTTAAAAAAAAAAAATTAAAAACAGGTTTTAGAAAACTTATTTTATTTGTGTAATTTTCGAATACACATTTGCTTTTCTTTGGGTTTAAGCGCAGTTAAGTCACAGGAACTGTTAACTTTTCCTAAGTAAACTCAATGCTTCCTAGGAGAGAGAAGAGGAAAGAGAAAAGGGGGAGAACACACGGAAAAGTGAGGACAACCTATTTGACAAAGGACAGGTTTTGTATGGCGAACCACCTTCTTCCGAAACTGCAGATTTCCAGAAGGTTGATTTCAAACAAATCGGGAGGGATGGATAAATTCCAACTCTCCAAGTGCTGTAGACCATCCGGAAGCAAATGCCGGCGGCCCTTGGGGAGTGATCGAAACGTGTAGTAGTAGCAGGGCTCTCTTTGTCCCATTCATTGACACTTGATAGTGTCTCCAGAACACTCACCTCCGTTCTAGCTGAGCACAAGTCACACTCACCAAGGAAGCTGATGGGAGTCGGACACACACCCAGACGTACACCCACACCCTTGGCCCCAGGGCTGTAAAGCGCGATCCACGGAATCCAGAGGAGACCGAAACCCAGGAGTCGATGGAACCTCTCACTGCAAAATCTCCCCGCTTTCTGAGGCTGAAGCCGAGAAGAACGCCACAGGACAACGCAGGGGAAGAGGGGGCACCTCCCCCTTACCTTGATGGTTTTCTCCATGTCGCTCTCCTCCGACATACTCAGTGGGGCCCCCACAGCCGGGAGAGGCAGAGGCTGCGCAGCCGCCCTGTCCCCGCGTGGCCGAGGAAGCAAAGGGCTCGGCTCTCGGGCCC